TATGAATACCGTAAGGCTGATATTACATTTTTCAAGCTTGTTGATTGGTCACGGAATAGGAAAGTTGCCGAATATCTAGAAATTTTCTATCCTGCAGCCAATCAACGTATGGCCCGAGCAGAAAGATGATCGTAAGGGCCTCAGCAGAATGGCTATCTTGTACTCTTCACACATAAGACAGTTATTGTGCGTTACGTCAAGACAAAGGCATAAAACATAAAACATTGTCTTAAGACTGTCCTAAAAATATAAGACAGCCGTTCTGCTCAGGCCCTAACTGTTTACGATGTCGTCGTAAGGCTGGGTATTACATTTGTCGTGATGATTGGCTGCGAAATAGAAAAGCTCCCGAGTCTCTAGAAATGTTCTATTCAGCGTATTATTGTCGTACGACAAATGTAATACCAGTCTAAGACTTAATGCAGGATTCACACTGGATTCGACATCCAACGTAGGACGTTTGATATATAATATAATTGGCTTTCTCTTTTCGTTCCTTGCTGGATCTAAAAGTATAAACCAATCATATTGGATATCGGACGTCGTACGTCGAATATCGGATCCAGTGTGAATCCTGCATTAAGTCGATGTCGAGGGTCAACGCACAAAGAATTGTCGTAGTGAAATGACGTATGTCGCATTCATTGCATCGGGACGCGAGGCGACACACGTCAACAACAATTCTTTGTGCGTTGACTTCCGACACCGACTTAGGTCTTACAACGAAATCGGAAACTATTGTGACAATTTTTCTGCTCAGGCTCGTACTTAAAAAAATGTGTCGTACGACGAATATAATATCAACCAAAGAGTAGGGTAAAGGCACCTAATATCGCCTAGAACGTAATATCGCCACTCGTGATACCTCGTGAATAAAGTGCTGTTAGCAATCGGCGATACATAGAATTAGTAGCTAAACATGTGTAAGAAAACATATTGTAATTACAACATTATAGAAACAACGTCTGACTCAGGAGACGCATTAAAACAAATTTTGAATGCTGAAAAATTTAGCAGACAGTGCAAGTTCGACGTCTCACAGTGAGAATATAAGTTGAAACAATTCTTTCAATGTAAAAATATTTACTAGAACTACATAATTATATACTTGACTATTTTTGATTGATATCTATCAACATGTATGTTTTTTAACTCACAAATAGATCTCTTATCGCCAGTAATATAAAACCAATGATACAGTTTTCGAAACGACCTACACTGGCCAGTGTTTTTATTTAAAAAACAAACGACGTTTTGGTCCCGGATTTGGACCCTTTTCAAGTATTCTTTTTCACACAATTGCCATTGATATCATATCGCTCATTTGGCTAATATCGTTAATAAGTATGTATGTTTTTGTTACAATGTTTTTAGTGTCTAGATTAGGATGCACTCAATACCGCTCATCACAATATTTCGGAGGTGTACGTAATAATATGCGCCTAGGCGACATGGGCATGCATTTTTTCAGAATGAAAGAGAGTAAAAAAAAAGTACAAATTGACACGATGTGCATTAATATTTCGAAATAGTGTGTTATATACAATATAACAATATTTTTTAGTATAGTCACAAAGTGAAAAATCTGTGGACACCTACAGACGTTTATATGATGTAAAATAAATATCTATAGCTTCACAAACACATACATATTGATAAACGATGATTTTATAAAAATTTATAAGGTAGGCGATATTGGGTGCCATTTTTTCAAATCCCCGATTTTGCGGTTTTCGTTTCTTTTCAATGTGGATTAAACACTTTAGATTTTAACCATTCCAACCCATTGTACGTGAAACACAAATGTTTCCTCTTTTATTTGAGACTAAATACAGACAGAAATGTCAATTACTCATTTTTGGTAGGCGATATTAGTTGCCTTTACTCTACTGTTTTTCAAGACAATTTCAAGACAAATTTTTCAAGAGTGTTTATTGGCTGCCGGATAGAAAATTTCTAGATACTCGCGAATTTTACTATCCTGTAGCCAATCAACACACTTGAGAAATTGGTCGTACGATAAACGTAATGCCAGCCAAAGGCTGCGCCCCGGGAACGATTCGGCCCAGCTTCCCGCCAAGTCTTGACGCGACTGTCGCACAGCGTGGATGAGGCAACGCTGACGTAATAACGTCAGCAACCGTACATGACGATCGTTTTAATCATGCAACGTGTTGCCGCGCGAGCGCGACCTGCGTCGCGACGGTCGATCGTTGTATGATACGTAGGGAACTCTCGACGTAAAAAGTCGGAGAGAGATCGACGCGGCGAAAGTACGTTGAATGAAACACGTGTGTACTTCTCGTTTCCGGTTTTGCGCACATATGCTTTAACGACTTGGAGAAAAGTGCCGACTATTAGAAAGGTATGCGAGTACGAGTCGAATCGGGTGAGATTTAGTTCGATTCGAGAATTTGAATCTGAACGAAAAGGAATCTAGATGGCTCGTATGTCGTCAATCTTCTAAAATCGTGGCGGGAAATAAAACAGTACGGTCGCGTTAACCTGTAGAGGGCCGGCATTTTTTCATTGAAATTTGTAATTTTTTTAACAGAAAATTTATGCATATATGTAATCTACATGTTCCGCAAAATTTTCAAGTTTGCTCCTGGCGACTGTAGCGGCCACTCCGGCCCTTTAAAGGTTAATAGATGCATTCATTACTAAAACTGCTCGCTGGGCGACTAAGTAAGCAGGAGAACGTGATTAGCTCCTACTTGAATTCAATTAATGACATATTTTTCGCTTAATTGTTTCAATTGCTGCAACGTTAAAGTACGTCTTACTACTTTCATATTAAAAATTTAATGTTTTTTTATTTTAAGCGACTTCATATTATATAATTAATATTGTTTCCATATTAAAATGTTCTCTTATTATCTACGTGTTAAAATTTAACCTATTAATTATATTGTTAATTAAAATTTATGTCTCAACGATTTAACTCGATTTAACTTGATTCTGATGAAACTTTGTCGATTCGCAAAGGGAAATAAAATTCGATTCGATCCTTGATCCGCACGTTTCTACTAAATATATATTATATATATTTCATCGCGAGAGTAACTAGAAAGTACGTCTCGTTTCCTCCAGTTTCTTTGAAAAAAAAACTGATTAGTTATTTGCTAGAATCCGCTTCGCAAACTTCCGCGCCCGACTTTGTATGCCAAATATGCCGCGACTAATGACTCTGCTTCTTTTCGCATCGGGAACTACAAAATTACGATTGCCCGCGACGAGTATTAATTTACGGCCGCGCGTTTCAATTAATCTGCAATTACGTGAGCGCGGATGAGATTGCAATTCTCTGAGAGTGTCGTAAAATCAATATAATTCAGTCACATCGCTCGGCCATTCGCTGCAGGCGGAAAGGCGTGCGTTACGTTTCAGAGAGACGCGCGTTATTCCATCACGGGGAAAACGTATACAGTGCCCGGAATAATAGAAAAACAAGGGCAAGGGCGGCCGGGAAAGAGCGCGACGCGGATAATCAGGTTGCCGGGGTATCCCGCTAGCGTCGACTGATTTGATTTCCGGAATTAAAAGTATCAAAGGACGGCCAAACAACGCGCGCGAGAGGGACGCGAGAACGTGTGGGCTCGTACGTTATAACAAAGTTTCTCTCTCTCTCTCTCTCTCTCTCTCTCTCTCTCTCTCTCTCTCTCTCCCCCCCCTCTCTCCCCCTCTCCCTCTCATCCACTCACTCTGTCTCTCACTCTCTGCTCCCCCTCTCTTCTCTCTCTCTCTCTGTCGTTCACTCTCACTCACTCGCAATCTCTCTCTCTGTCTCTCATGTGTATACGATCGTGTAAGTCAGTACGATGTAGTAAGTCAACGCACTAGTGGTGTACATGCGTGTGCGTGTACGCGCGTCCCGTGTATTTGTGCGAAACCGTGGTCAGCGTATCTGAGTACAGTCGCGTAATCAAACCGACGAAATTGTCGATGACATGTGACTCTGTAACGCCAAGATGACGCTAAATTAACGTAAGAGCCATTGTGTACGAATTCCGGCTGGCTTTTCCGCGCAAATCTCGTTCGCGCGCGGTGCTGCACGGGCGATAAATTAGAAATGGCATTCGGTATGTCGTTCAGCGGGAATTCGCATTAGTAACGCACGTTCTAAGTTGCGCGCCTCATTTTTTACGGGAGACGACGAACTTTCGCGAAGCGTTGAAACCGCGCTATTTACACGAACGTACGCCGGCGTGTAGGAGGGACCTTGATATCTCGCAATATACTTAGGGCCCGTCGACGCAGTCGGACGACAGCGTCGTTGAACAAATATTTTTCCCCGCGAGGAGAGAAACCTCGCTCGAAAGTATTGTCCGGCGTCTGTCGGCCTGCGAGTGAATGACCCTATTTATCGGTGCGTTATGTATTTTTATCGCGGTCGCCTCGCCCTAGTTATTTATCGCTGCTCTCTTCGCAGTGGATACGGAGAGTCGCGGGACACCCGTCCGTTTCTCTCGCGAAACGCGCGAGTGGAAGATAATAGAAAAAGACGACGTGTGCACGCACGCGCGCATAATGCGCGCGCGCGGAAACGTAGGAGATATGTTAATTTTTCATTTTGCCTGCGGCTCGCGAATGTAAAAACGTCTGGGACCTCGGTCCTACGCAGCTTCTCACCTGCAACTCGTTGACGAGCTTCTCCGTGAGCGTAGCGTCGTGGGAGTCCTGGCTGGTCGCGCCCGGACTCAGCATGGAGTTCTGTGAATTCTGCTGCTGATTGCCCGACATGTTCATACCGGCGAGACCGCCGTTCTGCGCGATGGTGCCGGCCATGTTGAGCGCCTGCTGCTGTAGATTCTGGGTGAGATTTTGCGCTTGCTGTAGATTTTGCGTGAGATTTTGCGCCTGCTGCTGCAACGCCTGCTGGTTAAGCGCCTGGCCAAGATTCTGCGTGAGGTTCTGCGCCTGCTGCTGCAGCGTCTGGGACAGATTCTGCGCCTGGCTCTGGATGTTCTGTTGCAGGCTCTGGCTCGCTTGACTAAGATTTTGCGGTTGGTTGAGCAATTGTTGCTGTTGTTGCGGCGATAAACTCGGCGTCAAGCTCTGCGCCAAGTTGTGCTGTAAGGTTTGTCCGAGATTTTGCTGCATGTTTTGCGTAAGCGCCTGGGTTAGCGCCTGGCCCAGATTCTGATTGAGCGCTTGGGCCGCTTGGACAGCCTGGACCGCCAGAGATGGACTCGATGCCTGCGACATCGTCTGTTGCGCCTGGGCGAGGCTGTGCAGACTCTGGGCCATGCTGGAGGCAATGGCACCCTGATGATCCGCTTGCGGCGACGGCGTCGTCGGTGCCGGGGAAGACTGATGCTGCGGGCCCTGAGTGGTTTGGTTCATCGATAACGCATGCTGCTGCTGCTGTTGTTGCATCTGTTGTTGAGGACTCGCGGTTTGGCCCAGGGTCGCGTTCGCGTTCTGCTGCACTTGCGAAACCGCAGACTGCTGCTGCTGCTGCTGCTGCTGCTGTTGCTGCTGCTGCTGTTGCCCGAGTGGACTGTGCATCTGCTGGACTTGCTGCTGATGTTGCTGCGTCGAATTCGAGATGGGACTGTGCTGGATCCCGGGTGAAAGTTGAGGCGGACCGCGTTGTGGTTGCTGCCAGTAATCCGACATCTTAAATACGTGCTGGCGTAGCGCGTGGAGGTTCGCGGCTGCCGCCGTGACAGCCGAGGCTTGAATCTCCATTGGTTCGGATTCGTTTTCGAGGTCGGGCTCCGGCGAGCTGCAAGGATCCTCGTCCTCCTCCTCGTCCTCCCGCTCGGTGATGTCCTCGTCCTCCTCGTCGTGAATTCTTGTGGACCGGTCCGGCTCGGGTCCGGGCGGTCCGCCGCCAGCAACAACAGCAACACCACCGGCGTTTCCGCCGCCGCCGCCACCTCCACCGCCACTTCCGCCGCCGCCGCCACCTCCTCCACCGCCGCCTCCTCCTCCACCTCCTATCCCACCCCCCGAATCGCCAGAGTGGAGATGATTCCCCGGGTGATGCTGATGATGATGCTGCTGTGGCAGGTGATGGTGAGGACGCGACTCTGGATTTTGGTTGTGCTGCTGCTGCTGCTGCGGATGCTGCGGCTGCTGCTGTTGTTGTGGCTGCTGTTGTGGCTGCTGCGGCGGCTGCTGTTGCTGATGGTGATGCTGCGGCTGCTGGTGGTCTAGCTGGCCGAAGTCTGGTTGGGCTTGCGTCTGGGCACGCAGGTCCAGGGCCGCCGTCGCGTCCGAAATTTTGAGGCCTTCGCGAGAAGCCCGGGCTACCCCCTTCCGGCGCAGCTTGCCCGCTTTTTCGCACCCCTTCCGGTAAGCAGCTCGACGGCCGGCACACCTCTGCGCTCGCCGCCGTTCCTTCCTATCTTTCTCCTCGCTCGGCCGCTCCTTTCAGCCTCGGGATCGTCGTAACGATAACGATCCTTGCGCCGCGCCGAGCTTCGACGTGGGCGGCGGGCAACGTCAGTTACTCGCCACCTGCTGCGACTTCCCGGCCCTGCTACCTACCGCCTGGCTCATGAAACTTCCTCTTATGATTCCTCCACTCCCTCTTCCGGATCCTCTCCCAGATCTCTTCTTCTTTATCGCGCCTCCCCTATGTCGTTACTGTCGGTTGCGATGCCTCTCGCGAGAGCACCGCCGATCGGTGATGGTGGTTGGTACGTCCGTAATGCGTCTTTTATCGTGATGACTTGTTACGTACGCAAGTGGCTGTCGTGCCCGCGTACGTTTCTTCGCGTTTTCGCGGCTCGGTCGATGGTCCTCTTCTTCTTCCTCCTTTTCTTCCTATTCTTCTTCCCCTCCTCTGTGTGTCCTCATATGACTGTGTGTATGGTACGTGTATGTGTGTGCTTTATGTGTGCTTTGCGTGAGTTGTTGCGCGCGCGCGCGAGCGAACGTTCTCCAGCAAATAAGGAGAACGGTCTATTTTCCTTCGTCTATCTAACTTAAACTCTATCGTACACTTAAGTTCAGGTTAAAATTCAGGATTGCCCAGCCCGGACGGTGTGAACGAGAAGGATAGTCCACGCGGACGCGAATCGTTTATTCGGTCGGAAAGGCTTCCGCTCCTCTTCGGGGTGAGAAATCGCACTCGCGGATGATTACCGCTCGTCCCGTTTTGCCCTGAGTATTTTAGCCCCGTTATGTTGGATGTGCGTGCGTGTTGTGTGTGCGTGCGTGTGTGTGCGTGTGCTCGAACGCGCTCGAACAGCCTCGAAAAGTTGGTGTCCGCTGTCGTGCGCGCCGGCTTGAATCAGTGAGTTTGTGAATTCTTTTAAGCGGGACGAGAGCGTTTCTCTCCGGGATTTCCGTCACTCCGTTTCTGCTTCCGCCTACTTCCTCCGATCGTCTTCTTCCAAGCTGCTGCGTCGCGTCCGTCGATGACTCCTCCTCGAAATGCGACTCTAGCGTTTAACTCTTTAAAAGGAATTCTATTCGATTATCGATCACCGCTCGTCGTTACCGATATCGTCGATGGTAGTTGTGGTTGCTTCTTATTATCGTTTAGGTTTAATTAATATTGCACTTAGGTACACTCGTTTTTTGAACACACTGAAATATATATGTATGAGCGCGGGGTTCTCAAACTTTCTTTCCGATTCTTGCTCTTTCTCTCTCTCTCTCTCCCTCTCCCTCTCCCTCTCTCTCCCTCTGTCTTTCTCTCTCTCTCTCTCTCTCCCTCTCTCTTTCTCTCTCGCTCGCTCTATCTCTTTCGATCTTTATCTATCTGCGCTTCCGTAGATACTCTCCCGATCTTTCTGTCCTCTATCTCCTTTCTCGATATCTTCGGAACGCGCGATCAACTCGCTAATCACTTTCTTCTTTGCAACCCCGCTTCTACTCGTTCGGCTCTCGGTCTTCTTACGCTCTTCTGCTCCTCTGCTTCTGCTTTGCTCGTCTTATTCTGCTTCTTCCGCTTTGTCCAGTCTTCCTCTCCTGCGCGGGAATCTCTCGCTGCAACGCGTCTCCCGCTCGAAGCTGCAACCCAAAAAAAGAAAATACATTTTTGCGTCGTTCGACGTCACGCACGACGAATGTTCAACATCGACACTATATAATTTTTTCAACGTCATAGGCAACTGTTTCACACGTTTTGTGTTCACGATCGGAAAAGCATTCGTACGTCAATCAGACATCTTGGAAGATACGAGAGGCTGTCACAATATTCACCGCGACTCTCGGTGATATTACGGTCCGATTATAGACCCGATAATATTAAGATGTAAAATATCTTGACTGACTCTTGGTGCGCGCGTGAGAACAACGTTATTTAAAACATTGATTTTTGCTAGATGACACTGCCTAAAATCAGCTGTCGCGAGCGCGAAAATATCGAGTGCCGGGTAACGCGACGTGAATCGAGTTAGAAGAATTTTAATAAAATTTCGCGTTGTCGGGAAGATATTAGCCACGAGATTTTATCATCTTATGACGGGGTAACGTTAAACGCGACGACTCTCTTTCGTCTGACGTTTACGAAGGGTTGCACTTCCGGCCGCGACACAAACAATAATTTCAACCAGCACTTGTCAGAAGCACGCACTAATTACGCGACATGGTAAATTTCGCCCGTTTGACACATCCAGCTCTCGCGTCGATAATTTAACGTTACACAAATTCATGCCCTCCCTTTTGTTCGCAACACCGATTGTCGTTGACGCGGGTTTTCCGAATTAGTTTGGCGTTTCAGAAAAATCAACTGGCTCGAGGAGCGCGGGCGAACAGCGCGAACAGTCTTTTGCCGTCGCACGGTGCTCGGGCACTCTGACAACACGGGAAAGGCACGGGATGCGTGATGCAAAAATTCAGGATCGGTATGGAGAACTGAAAAGGTTTATAACTGAAAGAGAGTAACATGTCGATAAATCAAATATTTATTCAAATAAAAGTAATGCCAATATAACAATGAGCAATAAATCAGAGTACAGTGAATAGGATAAAAATAAATGTCCAGAGCACTGAATATTCTCAGGAATGTAGCGTAAAGTCGTGATTTACATTGACATAACATCACAGCGAGTAACGCGATGTCACACTTGCGATACTGCCTCTCTCTCACTCTCTCTCTCTCTCTCTCTCACACCGCCGTAGAATTGCGCTCGCGATCTTTTTTTTTCTCTTTGCCAATTATCGCCGGTCCTTTGTTAAATCGAGAATTGGTATCGCCGGCGCAATTTTGGAATTGCATCGTTACTTCCCGAATTATTTTCCAACGCGCGGTTAGACTCTTTCGCAGGGGGCCTGTCACCGAGCGATGAATAGAGTCGACGCGTTGACGACGACGTCAATGAAATGCCAAATAATTTGTTGCGACGTGTACCAGGTTTACGCGACGTGACGAGCATTGTCGGCTGCCCGGTGAATTAACGGCCCGAAATGATCACGCGCGAGGATATTCGCATAATCGCTAACTCATTTACTCGCGGCATGGCGATTCGTTACGTTTATTGTTCGCTATGCAATTCCGCAACCGCGAGCATCACGCTGATGTTCGGCGTGACCAATTTCTACGGGGCTTCGAGATAACGACGATCGAGATTCCCTTGGTCCTATCCCTCGGTCCGCCTTCTCGCGATCTTACCGAAGCACATCGTATCACACCGGAAATCGAGAGGGGATTGAAGCGTGTGCGATCGCGACGAAACACTGTCGAGACGGCGACGATGACGTACCGGGCATGTCAGGATTCGGAACAGGGAATAGGAGGGGGTGGGTCAGTGTGGTGGTCTCGGGCCGAAAGTGGGGAAAACTGAGTAAAATCACACGACGGAAGTAGAAAAAGAGGAAGGTGGCAGACGCGTTGACGGTTGGGCTTATTAATCGGGCCTAGGTGCACGGTCGCCAAGCGTCGTTACGTTCACAGAACTCGCAACACAAGATGAGCAGGGCAGAATATTCCGAGAGAAAGAATCCGGAGGATCCCTTACTGGAGAGATCCAAGTGCGGATGACAGACGGGCAGATGCGGCAGTCGGCGATGGTCGGTAATACGCGTAATACGATCGTTGCACCTCGGTCCGGCTGCTCGCGACCTTCGTGCACGGTATCGGCCAAGACACTGTTCTTCCTCTTCGAAGGACGACGACGGTAACGACAACGACGACGAAGACGACGACGACGACTACGACGACGACGACGTACGACGGGGGGAAAAAGCTCTCTCCTCTTCCGCGTTCGAGTCCTTGACGGAGGAGGAACCGAAACTGACTCGGGTCTGCGGCTCGCGAGAAACGCTAAGTCCTTCTCCGTCGGGGGCCGGTGGTGGCGCGCTTCTCAGACCGCGTGCGTCTGACTAAAAGCCACCCCCTCGTGCCTTAAAGAACGCGTGTTCGGGTAGGGGCGTTGTCTTAGGTGGTGCGCGGCCGCGAAATTTCTGGCCACCTCGGGGCGCCTTCGCCGTACGTCGTTTCTTACCGCGGCAACGTCGTACGCGGGTCCGACGGGCCCGGGCGCGGGCCCAGGTTACCGTGGACCGACTCGTGACCCCGGCCGCGTCCACCCACGACGAAAATCTACCTCCGGGAGGACGAAAAACTGAGGCCGTCGTAGGACAGGAGTTTTCAAGCTACCCCTCTTTTCCTTTGCCCCCACCAGACACGGCGCCGAGGCGCGCGCTCTATCTCCCCCTTTTCCTCAAACTCTCCTCGCCCTTCACCCCGCGCCCAGGTGGGTGGGGGATTCTCCGCCGCCGACTCCGCCGACGCCTCGTACGGGGGTAAGCGTCGTAAGGGGTGAGAGAAAGAGAGTGGGGCCGCTCTCCGTCTCCGTTTCGCCCGGCCAAGAAAACCCTCCCGGAAGGAGGGTAGGAGAGAGTCGTAAGAACCGATTATCTGTCTCTGTCTGTCTTGATCGCTATCTTACACTCCGTGGTTACGTTCCGGCGTATACGTAAGTACGCGAGGCCGGAACAAACGGGCTCTCGGACCGTGTACACTTTTCGCTGAGGACTCGTCCTTGAAAACTTTTCGCCCGACCGTCGCGGATCATCTCCGTCGCCGTAAACTCACTCGGACTTAACACGATTCTACCTCGCGAATCAGTCCACTCTCATTTCACCACGAGAAATACAAGTCTCGAGAGACGTGCGCGACATGCGAACGCCACGAAACGGGGTACTCGACTGATCGAAAAATTCTAGGGGGCTTTTGTGTAAGGGGGTGTAACAGTCTGAGATACGAATAAAAAAGAAGGGGGGGACCGTCGTGTAAAAATGGCCTCCTCCCTCGTGTCCCGTATGGCAACGCACGCGTGACTAATCACGGGGGAGTGGGGCAGGCGTTCTTTTTTATCCCTCTTTACGAATCACCCCGTACCCAAGTTACGTGGCTCGCGATCGTATTCTCGATATTAATGCACGAAGTTTACTCGATGGCGATCAGTTGATTAAGTGTCGCGGATCGATCGGGCCCAGGCAAGCGGATTCGAATACATCAGATCACTCCGGCCATCCGTCATCCAACGCTCTTCCTCCCTCCCTCCCCTCCCCCCCCCCGGGTTTTGAAAGTCAAATCGCGATTTAAACATGGATCATCGACCTTGCGGAGGACGTCGACTTTCCAGTAGACGCGCTGATGCTCATTTCGCGGCGAAGGGTGGTCGATGGTCATCCCGCTCGTCTTACGCACCCTCCTCGCCGAAGTAGACAACCAAGCCATCCCTTCCTTCCCTTCTTCTCCCCTACCTCCCTCTCCCTCTCGCGGGCTCTCATCTAACGTAGCTGCCCCACCATTGCATTAAGCTCCTATTTCTCCCTTCTCTGCCAACGTCTTTCCCCTCTCTGCTCGCTCCTTCATCCGTTTCTCTCTTTCTCTCTCTCCCTCCCTCCCTCCCTCCTCTCTCGCTCTCTCTCTCTCTCTCGCCGCCGGTTTTCGTAGCTGAATCTCGCGTACGCTACCCGATACCCTTTCCTACATCCTTTTCTCTCCCTTCTTTCCCTCCCTTTCTCGCCTGCCTCGGCTCGCGCTCCCCACCAGCCGGGCAACCCCCACGCGCCGCTTTTTTACGCTGGCTTCGTCCTTTTTTCCACGTGGTGTACACGTGGAAGTATGAATCCGGGAGGTGGGGAGGCGCGACCCCTTTTTTTCTTCAACCTGCCTCTGGCATTCACGCAAGAGAGCCCCGCTGGTCGTCCGAGACGACGCAATAACGCGTCCACCCTTTCGTCCCTTTGTCTCCCTCTCCGTTGGAGGAGCAGCGGCGGCAAGAAAGGAGCAAAGAAAAGAACGTCGCGTCGCGTCGCGCCGCGTCGCGTCCGGTCGCGTCCCTCCACCCACGTTGTGTCCACCCTATCCGTGTCTCTCCCAACGCGCGTGCGACGAGGGTGGACCGTCGCGCGAAAAAAGTTAGCCAATGAGTCGGCCGCCCCGCGATGGTGGAAAAATCGAGTGACCTTCGTCGCACGTGCGACGCCACGCGCGCGGTAACCTTCTTTGTCGGCGCGACAGACCGGCGAAAAACGTCTCTCGCTCCTTAAAGAGATATTCTACGACGACCGTTTCGGTATATCTGATGCGAGATCGATTACCGCGATATATAGCACACTTCGCGTCGCTCAGGCGTGAGTAGAAAGAGGCAGGGAATTAGTGCAATTCGTTAATTCGGTTTAACGTTACTTAATATTTATAGAAGTGTCCGTCGCGCGATCGATCAATCTTTTCAGCACACTCTTGTAAGTCGTAAGAAGGAAAATAAAATAATGTCCTTCCGGGTGTCGCAACGAAAAAAGTCGATTTGGAAAATGGACAAGGATAATTTGCCGCGACACATTACCGTAACCGATAATTTAGTCCTAGGTACTCGCGAATTATGCGAGGAGCAATTTCGCGAAGCTCAAACGCAGGAATATCTAGTTTATCGGACAGTGAACCGGCGGTAGGCCAGAAGCAGGACGAGAGTAACGCACTTCCGACACGAGGGTCTCTGGCACGAAAGTGCCCGGGCGCGATCGCGATCGAACTTCCGTTCGCGGCAGGCTGCCGCCGTGGTAAGAATTTCGGCTCGCATGCGGGTGGAGAGGGGAGGGACTCGCCTTGTACGTCCGCTGTACGCGCGGGTGTGTTCCTCCGGAGTTTCGAAAATAAGTACGTAGAGCGCATTGGGCAATCGGGGCTCACTTTAAATTACAAATGAAGCGGCCGGCGTACGCGAGGATAAAAACAGGTGAGAATCGAGCCTCCGCGCACGGCTACGGGGTGGGCGGATTGTCAGGTACGCATACGCCCGCGCGTGTACGCGTGTGGGTGCGCGGCGGTACGCGTTACGTACGCGTTACTTACGCACGAGCGTGCGTACGTGCGTTACGACGTGTACGCGGCGTTTTAGATCTCAATCCCGATCCCGATTCCCCCTTGATCCCGATCGGCAGCTGGACTCGAAGAGCCGACCAACGGACGTACAGACGGACTACTTGCCGTGTACGAGTTGCTACACGTGCACTCGCAACTCTGACGGGGCCCCGTTGTCCGGCTCCGCGCTCTGCGAATCGAGCCGATCGACTACCCCGATAGGACGTACGCGCCTTTGCGTAGGAAGACATTTGTCTTCCGGGCCTGATCCTGCCTACTTTGGATTGTCCGCCTTCGCGAGTGGCGGGGGGGGAGTGCGTGGAAATGTGTCGACGAAGGTGGTCGTCAGGTGGTGGAAACGCCGCCGGGAATATCTATTACCCCGTGTCACGCGTGTCCTCCGAATTTTCAGCCCCCGCGACCGAAGCGTCGTGTTTCCACGTCGTTATTTCTACGTGGATTAATTGGTGGAAATTTTATTAATCAGACCTTTAGACGTTCTTTCGCGGACGGAGCGTAAATGCAAAAATGATAGCAATGCCAATATAGCACGACGCGTTAAGAATTTTATTGAAACACGGAGAGAGTTATTTGACACGGCCGATATAATGCGTCTGGATTAAATATCCGTTTTCAATTTTCATATTTCTTTAATGCGTCTGTCACGCGAAAAGATTTCCAGCGCAATAATTTGTTCGGACGGCCTTTTTGCAGGCACTCGTTTTGCTGCTCGTGTGAAGTAGCCCCGTCTCAACCCCCGATCGGAAGAACCACCCCGTGGCGAGGTGACGCCTGGCGGCGGAATAAGGAACGAGGAAACGAACGGGTGGAGAAAAGGGTGAGTCGTCCTAAGGTTTTTGTCCGTGCTAACCCCCGACGATTGCGCGCTGCTCTCGTAAGCGGAAGTTCAAGTCCGACGAAAAACTGTCGGTTTTTAATCGATCTTCGGCCTCTCGGGAAGAATCTAGTCGCCTGTCGGCCCATCAAAAATTGCCTACACTGCGTGAAATAACCCGAAGGCGGCGTAGACGTGGTTAGCTCCGGTCTCAGGGGCCGTAAAAAATGCCTCGAAAATTCTACGATTATTGAAATATTTACAAGAAATTCTACGCTCCTCGCAAGGAAATAACCAACTTCTAGAATATCGATTACTGTAAGAAACGGTAAGATGATACACTCGGTTACGAAGACTCGAACGGTGAATCGTCGAAATAGATTTCAGCAGTGCGGCCAATTTGCGAAGACTATCTGTAAAAATAATCTACAAAGAGTCCGCAGGACTGAACTCTCGTTCTCGATGACTTCCGGATAGCTTTAGGACCTTTGTAGTCTCCGGCGAGGGATCGCGCTCGCAAAATTTGTTTGGGATAAATAGCGAGGTACAACAAATCCGTGTAATTCCGGTGAGTTCGGATTTGAAATTTACAAGATGCGGGAAAGGGACGTCTGCGTGACGATACCGTCCACGCAGTGGTCGTAGCGTCGAACAATTGAACTCACCGAGATCTGTTACATCGGTATCAATCCACGACCACCTTCATGCGCGTTATCGTATTACCGTGACGGCGCGATACGCGGAGTGCACACTACTTTATTCGCCGGGAAATGAGATTAGGATCGTCGCGACGGTCGCGATTCTCGTCGAATCGGCGAATCGGAGGAACGTGCTGCACGCGAGCCATCGAAACTGACGGCCCGGATTAAGAATTCTAACGGTAGGAGTAGCCGGTCGGCTGTAGGATGAAATGAGCGACGCGTCCGGCGCATTACGCAATGAAAGAAACAAATGAAGCTTAATAGAAAAACTGCCCGCGCTAGAAAAACCCATTCCGCCGTGCACTTAGTACAGCTGCGTCAGAAAGTGCATCGCCCGTTCTTTCTCCCCTCGTCGACGAGACGGCGCGTTTCTGGACACGCTTCGCGTCGGTCGCGATTTAAGCGCCCGTCCGAAAAAGTCCGCGCCACTTTAAACCAATTGTCTATTTAACGCGGGGGTTTTAACAAAATTTGTTAGCCCCCACGTGGAAAATCGCGTGGGTTATTCAGATATCGACGTTTCCTTCAATTTGCGGCGTGTCGCGGGAAGGTGGAGCCCGCCGATGTACCCGGGGGCCATCGCGCGGCGGAGAGTCAGTGATCCGGAAAACTGGACGGGCAGCAGCGAGACAACTTGTGAATTTTTTAGATCCATTCGGATGGACGGCTAATTAACAGTAATCGAGCAAACGTGTAGAATTGGCTCGCCGCTGACTGGTGTACTTTGTTCCGGTTCTAAATTTGATTTACATTAAATATGAGAGAACGCTCGTCGGGACGAGCGGTGCGTGCATGCGCGGGGGTCTATATCGCCGCATTAAATATAACCAAACGCGGCGAACGCGCGTAATGAATCAAATTATTTCGGACCGCGTCGCGGTTGGGGGAATAATTTAGCCCGTGTGAAAAGGACAAAAGAGCTTAAAAAGGACGAATTGTAGACGCGGTCTCCGCGCGTGTACGCGGGCGCAACGCGACGCGCGGCGTGCCGCCGCCTGGCCGTGTTTAGGCAACCGATCCGCCGATAATCGATAGCCGCCGATTCCGGATAATTCAGGATGTCAAATGCGCGTCGCGGGATCAAAGGCCCGCGTATGTGCGTGCGCCGTGCGTGCGCGAAGAGCCATCCGTCGTCGCCACGGACACGGAGTCCGCGGAGTGCGCGTCGCATCTATTTTTCCCGACTGTACCACCACTGTCGTCTGCGGCTGTGTCAATAGGAGCCAATCTAAGTACATATGCACACACATACGTAATGCAGCTCGCCGCACACTGCGACTCGTGATGCAATCGTGCGCCTCGTGCCTCGCGCAGTTTCGACATTCTCTTTGCCCCGCGCTATGCGCAAAGTGTGGTAACGAATTCCGCGATCGGACGTGATCGATCGATCGATCGATCCGCCGCCGAGACGTGGACCCGAAATTTTCACGACGGCATCTCCGCGATCGATCTCAGTCCCGGCGGTTCCTCCGGATCGCGGCCGTCCAGCGCGATTAAGCGGTCGATCCGCGCGAGCACCACCGGCGTATATTTCTATCGCGCTCTCGTGTTTTCTAAGACTTTATGCGAGCCGCGGGAGATAAGATAAGCGTGCGCGGATCTAGGATCAAGGTGACGAAGATAGCGTCGTGACTTTGGGCGGCACATCGCGACAGTCGCTCCGGAAAAAACTGACGCGCCTCGCGCGTTATCGGAAAAATACGACGCACGCCGCATTCTTACGAGCGAACGTCAAGTCCGGGCTCGAGAATAGAGAGAGAGAGAAAGAGAGCGAGCGCGCGTCCGGAAAACGCGCCCGTTCAGAAATATCCGTATTTCTCGTGAAAATATCTACGGGAATGTCGTAATCGTATTAAATTTAATTTTTAAAAGCGCTGATTGCCGGATCGCGACTATATGCGCGACGACGTGGAACGTCTTGGGGAAGAGCGAAACCCTTTTAATTATTTGCAAATCGTTTTTAATCGTACAAATTGACGGCGAGGAAAGAACGAAATAATTCATCGGGCGCTTGTGCGATACGCGATATAACGGCGGTAATGAGAGTATGCGAG